TGTTAAATCCCTGGTGGACAGTTCCCTGTATTTGCCTTCGTGGGCAAGATTTAATATTTTAATGAATATCTTTTGGATCAAAATGGATGCACCTTCCCTGGTAATGAACCTCTAGTAGCAATGGAAATAATGAAAAACCCTGTTTCCAACTCTCAGTGATTCCAGCAAAATATGCAGAGTTCTCAATGGTATCTTTGTTTCTCTTCCGGAAAAGGGCATCGGAGCACTCAAGACTTTTTCCATGCTGCACCGTGGCCTACGGCCAGGATAAGATGGGTCTACAAAATCTGCTTCCTCTAAACTTGGCTGAGGCCAATGAGCTAGCTAACATCCTCTTTATTTTCTTGCCCAGGAAAAGGGCATTTGAGACCGGTTGTTACTTGGCACAACAGCTTCTGAGTCTGCCTCAAGGGGGAAAAAAATCTATGACAGGTATGAGATTACAATTATTCCCCGTTCACCTCCCCAGACTACGGAGGCCTAACAAAACAGGTGCTAGGGGATCTTCTCACTGTCTCGGCGTATTGTGTGCAAGAGAGAGGATGTGGAACAAACAGGATTATGATATAAAATATTTGTGACAACACCATTCTTGTGCGTGGCTAATGTGCCACCGACATACAACTTCAGATACGGTTTCCAGCAGCGAAGGAGACAAAGATGCTACAAACCATTGTGAGGATCGTCCCTCTCTCTTCCCCTTTCCCAAATGATTCACTTGGGAGGAGTAAAAAGAAGCAAAATACCTTCATATCTTCCTCTTGTAGGGATCACTTTGATCAGGATCATCTTTTGTGCAAAGCCATAGTTTACCTGGCTTACTATAATGTAAAAACCACAACTGGGCTAGGTTAGTACATTATGCTATGACTCAAATCATAATTTATGAACCGCAGTATTGTGGTTCGTGACATGCTGAGACAAAGCCAAACAGATCACATTATTGCTTACAATTCTGTCTATGTCAAGCAGAGAAAGTTTGTGAATCCTTTAGAACTATCGGTGAACCTGAAGGACTATGACCGACAAAGTGACTTGAGCTTCATTTAAATCCACCTACAGCAACCTCTGCAAGCAGAAGGTGCGTTTCTTCTTCCCAAATGAGTCAGCCTTGTTTCAAAAGGTTGTAGATGTATAAATATATCAAGGAACGTATCCCATGCTGCAAGCAGCTTCAATCTTTTTTTTTACTTCTTAGCAAAGCATTATAATACATACATTATATATATATATATATACATATACATACATACATACATATATATATATATATATATATATATATATATATATATATATATATATTAAAAGAGAGACAGTTCTTTAATTCCATCCTTCCGAGGTCGGTAAAAATCAGGACCCAGACTGTTGGGTGCTAACTCTATAAACCGCTTAGAGAGTGCTGAAAAGCACTATGAAGCGGTATATAAGTCTAAGTGCTATTGAATATCGTATCGACTGACCGGAAATCTTCCAAACAGAAATCCAGATCATCCCGTTTTTTTTTCTTTTTCACAATCAATGAAAATGACATAGTTCATTCACATAAATGATCTGCAGCATTGAAGTATTAGCAAATAAAATATATTGCCTATCAACATCATTGCTTTGGTAAAAAATATCCGTAAAGTGCTACAATAATTGCATGAAGAAAGGGTTTAGCCAAAAAGCTCCAGTGAACTATTATACCTCTGCAAATACATACCCAGTTAAGGAGCCTCCCAATTAAAACGTGGTTGCCTGAACCATCAAGTGGTATTAGTGACAGTCCTAACAAGGCTGTATTTGTACATGTATTTGTACATCTATCCATATACTGTATATATGAGTTAGCGTTTGATAATTGCCAAGACTAAAAATAGCTCAAATATATACAGAATGGGGTTTTGCTAAGGTAGATATTCCCGTCCGTTCAAAATTCTCAACTTTGAATGTTATTTCCAGATGGTAACAAGATGCCCAAACATAAAAAATTCCATTTATGCTCTATACATTTAGTTCAAAATCTATTTGTATGCATCCTTTCACAAGATTTTAGCTATTATGTATCATGAATATCGAAAGCTCCCCTTTCACAAACCACCGCACAATACTAACGTACTTTCTATGGACTGTAACTATAGACATCTTATTGTCATCCTCATTCAATGTATTTATTTCATGTGATGCTAAGAGGCTTAAATGAGCAACAAAGTACTTCAAAATCTTGTTTCACTCTCTTCCCCAAACAACAAAAAGGAATCAACTTTCGTTTGAAACAAAAGTTTCAAACGGAGCCCTGTAAGTTAAACATTTTGAGAAAACAAAAAAATAAAGCAATGGAAACATTCTATTTATCCATCAACAAAACAGACTGTTTGCAATGCTTACATTGGAAGCCTAAGAACTTTTTTACGTAAAGCTTCTTAAACAGAAAAGGTTAAACAGCATCAATTCAAGACACTGCATTCCTTGCACATAATTAGAACGAACAGCAGATTCAGGAAATGGCACAGGTTCTTTGTTAGCCTCTGTTCATTGCAGCACTCATGAAGGACACAATTGCTTATGAAGGAATTTCTCCCTATCACGATAGAAGCCACAATCATAATGTTTCATGGCTGCATTAGCACATTCCAGAATACCCTTCTCTTTCAATCCTTCAGCACTTGCCTGCAGAGTCTTACACCAACTTTCTTAGCTTGGCACTTCTCAAGAATCTCTTAGAATTCTTACCGCATAGTACTGAGTAGATGTCCTTTGATTGTAAAGCAATGTCCTTATTTTAGGGCCTGACAGAACTCCAGGGACCATAGAGCCACTCATGGCTTTTCCAACAAAACTTTCAAGTGTCACTGCCTCGGCAGTGACATCATTCCCCACCCACCCATCCCCAGAGAAATAAGAGTCTCAAAAAAACAGGGAAGTTACTTTCACCTAAAGGTATACAACCAATCTCCTTGTGCTTTCCCAAGCCCCAAACTTCTGAGGAACCTAGCTGAATAAGAATGAAGCCCTGGTCACACCTTCACAATGTGACATCCTTATCTGTCCCATCATGACATCTTCTTTTGCCAGACCAGATTTTTGTATTTGGAACTCTAGGGAACGTCCTAAGAGACATCCTTCCTTCAAAGCAGGAGAAAAAAAAACCCCAATGTGCAGGAGAAAGAATGGAGAAGGGGTTCAAGCATGCCACTTCGATATAATGTTAAGGTTCTAAAGAGGCCAGTCAGAGAACATTGGATTAGACCAGATTATCATCTAGTCTAATTGCTTCTAGTGTGGGAAATCAACTATTGTGTCATTTTTAATCAATGGATTTCCAGCATCTATATTTAAAAGCTGGATTATAGAATGGTTGAGATCTAGGGGCCATGGAACTTCAGTAAATGTGCAGCCAAATCCTAACTGAACACGATTTAGCAAAAGGGAGGTGTTTGAATGACCGTACTCCCAAGGCAGCCTTAAAACTGCAATATCTGATTCAAACTTAACTGAAAGTAATCCTCCTCACCAGACGAGATTGCCCAGCTCCATGGAAGTCTTTTCTTTTCCACACAATCACAGGAACATGCAACCAACAACCATGTTTATTAAGCCTTGTGCAGTATCTGGAATTCTCTCTTAAGGTTTTATGTGCCAAAGCTCATTCAAGGGAAAGTCACAAAGGAAGATCCTGAAAGAGCCATTCAAAGTACATAAGTCCTTGGCCCTTCAACAGAACAAGGCAAGCATTACTATGCAACGCAGCTCCAAGCCACGGTTTTCTGTACGCAATCCTGTCACGACAACAGCCCATGTGTCCGGTGAAGTAGAGTGTCGTCCGCAAGAAACCTACGTCATAATAAACCTCTAGGGTGCTGCATGAGTCTTTTGTTATTTCCTTGGTCCAAGCTGTAGGCAACCATCTCCCCCATCGCCCAGGTAGCAGCAGCATCCCAGCCAAAGCCCTGCCCGCTTGATTCAAGAAGCCCACCAGGCATTGCAATCCCTGACTCAAGGAAAACCCTGCGGAGAGCGGCCAGCCTTCCTTTTACAAAGGTTGTTACTGAGCAGTACCCCCCCCAATACACTTTATTAAGGGGAAGGGGGGAACGACAACCCCAAAGGGAAAAGAATGAAGATTATCCCATGCATAGATTCTACTCAATCCTGGGCACCGTTGACTATAAAGAGGGAAAGCAACCCCACTGCAGGTTTTGAACCCAAGGCCTAGTTTCAACCTTTTCTCTTCCCCCCAACCCCCCCCCACTCCTTCCACCAGCCATGCATTTCCAAGCTGCAGATCTGTGCATGGTGGCCTGGGTTCGTTCCACCCCCCTACTCCACCCCAGGGGTCCCCGAGACCCTTCCGCAAAGTCAGCTATGAAGCCACAAAACCCCAGCTTCATGCTCCTAATAAGAGTCCATCCCTGGAGAGAAGCAACCCAGCTCGACCCAAAAGCGCTTTTAAGGGTGGAGAGGGGGAGATGGGGGGGGGTCTCATGGCTCATTGTCAAGGATGGGAAAAGGGGGGACCCCCCCTCCCCCCAGACAAAAAGCTCTGGGAAAAGGCGGCTGAAGATCAAGAAATGTAGTCTCTGGCCTCTCTCCCCCCCTTTTTTTCTCCAGCCACCCCCCTTTCACCTCCAGCCATGCACACTCACACACTCACACACACACAATGGCTGGGTGAAAAGCGTGCTTTGCGCGAACCCCCCACCCCTCACCCCCGCCTGACAAAAGAGCCGACCGTTAAGGAATTGGGTTGGGGGTCTCTCTCTCCCTCCCCCTCCCTCCCCCACAACGCCAGCCCACCCCCCCCGTCCAGAAAGTCCTAAAGCAATTTTAAAAAAAGAGAGAGGGGGGGGAGGGTGAAAACTAGTCAGGCTAAGGGGTCCTCGAGGGGATGGGGGGGAGGGGGCAGGACTACAACTCCCATCTTCCCCTACCGCCCCCTCCCCACCCCCGCCAGCCCAGCCCGACCTTCAGGGGGGAGGGAAACGGGCGCCGAGGTCCGCCCCCGCCTGCTCGCTTACCTCCGCCGGGTCGAGGGACGCTGCTCCCCTCTGGCCGCCGCCGCCGCCGCTCCGGGGCTGCTTTCACCCGCGCCGCCTCCTCGCCGGGGCCGCCTCCAGGCAGCGCGCGGCGGCGGGGCGCATCCCGGCTCGGGGCCGGGGCTCGGCGAAAGGGAGAAGCCGCAAAGGGAAGGCCGAGGAGGGAGGAAGGAAGGAAACGGCCAGGGGGGTCCTCAGCACCGCGGGGGCCGTCCGCCACCTTCGCCTCTGAGGAGGAGAAGGAGCCGCAACGAGGCAACGGTGGCGGGAGATGGCCAGGGCGCAGGCGCGCGCAGGCCACGCCCCCTCGCGCGGCGGCGGCGGCGGCTGAGGGGGGCCAGGGGAGGCGGGGCCGCGCGCCTCCGAAGCCCCGCCCCCTCACGTTCCAACGTGCGGCGCTGCTTCAAGGGGGGGGCGGGTTTGGAAGTTGATGGGGGAGAGGAAGGGTGGGAGGGGCAGAGGGAGGGAAGGAGGGGGAGAGAGGGATGGAAGGGGGAGGTTGGGGCATGGGAGGGGGAGGGAGGGCAGACGGAAGGAGGGGAGAGAGGGGGAAGGAGGGGAGGAAGGAAGGAGAGGGAGAGAGAGGGATGGAAGGGGGGAGGTTGGGGCAGGGAGAGGAGGGAGGGGAGAGTGCGGAAGGAGCGGGAGGGAGGCGAGCGGCAGATGGAGAGGAGAGGAGGGAAGGGCAGAGGGAGGGGAGAGAGGGAAGAAGGGGAGAGAGGGAGGAAGGAGAGGGAAAGAGAGGGATGAAGGGAAGGTTGGGGCAGGGAGGGAGGGAGGGGCAGACAGAAGGAGGAGAAAGAGGGAAAGAGGGGAGAAAGTGAGGAAGGAGAAGAAGGAAGAGAGGGAACGAAGGGGAGAGGGAGGGAGAGAGTGAGAAAGGAGAGGAAAGAGGGAGGGAGAGAGGGAAGGAAGGGGAGACAAAGGGGCACATAGAGGTGGAGCGGGTGGGAGGGGGAGAGAGAGATGAAGGAGAGGGGAGGGGAGAGGGGGGCAGATAGAGGGGGAGAGAGGGAGGAAGGAGAGAGGGATGGAAGGGGGAGGGAGGGGCAGATGGAGGGAGGGGAGAGAGTGCGGAAGGAGAGGGAGGGATAGAGTGGGGAGGGGGAGATAGAGGGGCAGATAGAGGGAGAGAGCAGGAGGGGGAGAAAGTGAGGAAGGAGAAGGAGAGGGAACGAAGGGGAGAGGGAGGAGGAGAGTGAGGAAGGAGAGAGAGGGAAGAGGGGAGGTAGAGAGGGAGGGGCAGATAGAGGCGGAGAGGGTGGGAGGGGGAGAAAGTGATGAAGGAGAGGGAAGGAAGGGGAGCGGGAAGAGAGAGAGGAGCGGGAGAGAGGAAGGAAGGGGCGAGAGAGGGAGGAGGAGAGAGAAGGAGGGAGGGAGGGGGCGATTGCCTGCTTTTGCGTTGGTGCCTTTGCAGGTGTAAAAAGGGAGTGGCTGGTTTTCTTCCTCCTCCTTGCAACAACATTCCTACCAGGGAGGTGAATTAGTGGAACGAAGCGAAAGCGCAGGAGATGCACGGATTTTCCATGGCATCCTTGGGGAAGCCTGTTTGACGTGGTCTTTTCTCTCCACTTTCCTCTACACCCCACACAGCCCTGCTTTTCTACAGCTAGTCCTCGACTTACAACAGTTCATTTAGTGACCGTTCAGAGTCGCAACGTAACTGGAAGAAAAAGCAACTTACGACCGCTTTTCACACTTACAAGTGTTACAGCATCCCCACGGTTGTGTGGCCACAATTCAGATGCCTGGTAATTGACTCACGACCGTTCCAAACGGACCTGCATTTGGGCTTCCCAGGTGGGCTTACAGAGAAAGGGGCTGGACCCGACTCCCCTATTCCTGGATTGTGGTTAATTGCTTGGAAAGGCGGTTCAGACGCCAACCCGCAACTTGCTGAGGCATCAGTGAGGGAACCGTAAAGCATCATGGCTGGGTTTGTCTTACACATTAAGGCCAAATGTGGCTGGCTGGTTTGTGGCTTAACGTTCCTTAGTGTAAACTCTGGCCCAGACAGGCTTTGCAAAGAAGCCATTTGGAAGGAATCCCGCTGGACGACTTCGCTCAATACATCAAACCATAAACTGTGGTTTATGAACACATGTCGCAATTATACATGTGATGGACTGATCAGTCTGTCCACCCATGGGGTGTTTTGACCTAGGCTTCCTGAGTCGGTAAAAAGCACACGATTAGTCCCCAAAAACCCTCTTTTTATTTCAATGGCTGTGAATTAGGTTCATTCAAAGCCCGTAAGCAGTCACAAATAGTTTGTAAAGAGTCCAACAGAAGTCTGCCACAGTCCTTTGGGATAAGGCTGATAAGCACCCACCTTTATCTCCCTTGACACGCTGCCAAAGACCTAATTGGCAATTAGCTTTGCAAGGCATGAGCACAGAGTCAAAACAGAGCTTCAGAATTTAAACCGACCAGAACGAACAAAGTTGCTTCCTGCAAAGGCTCAGGTGCCTTTGCTCCTCCTTTATGTCTTATGGGAGGGGCCAATCATCTCCAAGCCCTACTCCCGAGTTGTCCCTTTTGTCTTAATTGTTCTTGCCTTTTGGCAGCTCTGTCCCACTCTGGAGGCTCCGGAGGCAGCACATAACTCCCAGATGGCCCTGGCCCCCTCTCTGCCTCTGATGCAGAGCCCTCCTCCGAGCCTTCCCCAGACTCCAGCATTGGCCCATGTTCCTTCCCAGCTTCCTCACTGTCTGACTCTGCTGCCAGCTCCGCAGGCTGATGGCAGACCACAACACAGGGAAAGGTTAAACGTTGCATCTTCTGCTCCCGCAGAAATTATTTTCCAGCATCCCTTGTGGTTCATGTCCTTTACTACAGAAATATAAAGGCACAATAAACTGACAAGGTGGGGCTGAGCAGCTCCCATTCCTGCTATTGAGCATTCTTATTTCCCCACACCGTGGTAAATGCCATTGAGGTGTGGACTTTCCATACTTGAATAACTTCCTGAATAACTTCCTCGTAGAACTGGGGAGAAATTTCCTGACAGTAAGAACAGTCGACCGATGGAACATCTTGCCTTCAGAAGTCGTGAGTGCTCCAACAACTGGAGGCTTTTTAAGAAGGGACTGGACAACCATTTGTCTAAAATGGTATAGGGTCTCCTGCTTAAGTAGGGGGTTGGACTAGAAGACCTCCAAGGTCCCTTCCAATTCTGTCATTCTGTATTCAAATCTGTATTCTGTCCTGTCTTGCTAAAGTAATCAGAAAATAAGTCTGGGATTAAAATAGGCCAGTTTATACCAAACTGGAATGTTTAAGGCGTGAGGGAGTCGCCTTGCAGGAATTAATGCCCCCCAAAAAAATTACATATGTGTTGAAAATTATCAGATGAGGAAGATAGCTGGAAAACTCTTCTGTATAGTAGGTTACTGTAGTTTTCTTTGCAGGGTGGGTGTGTGAGTTTCGGCTGGAAGAATGTGCAATCTTAGCAGTGCTCAAATCACCAGCAATCCGAAGGGACTCCTTTTACCACTGAGTCAGAATGCAGGCCAGAGATAGCGTATCAGAATGAGGTGGAAGGAAGTCATTGAGAAACCGCAGTTTATGCTTCGGCTCAAGAGGAAGTTTTGTTTATGAGTAGGAACAGCTGACATCTGCATGACATCTGGCTGCTCGAATGACTGTAGGCTAAAATTGCTCTTCGTAGCCCAGAGGTGGGTTTCAGCAGGTTCTGACCAGTTCTGGAGAACCGGTGGTGGAAATTTTGAGTAGTTTGGAGAACCGGTAGTAAAAATTCTGACTGGCCCCACCCCCATCTATTCTCTGCCTCCCAAGTCCCAGCTGATCGGGAGGAAATGGGGATTTTGCAGTAACCTTCCCCTGGAGTGGGGTGGGAATGGAGATTTTACAGTATTCTTCCCCTGGAATGGGGAGGGAATGGAGATTTTACAGTATCCTTCCCCTGCCACCAAGCCACACCCACCAAGCCACGCCATGCCCACCAAGCCACGCCCATAGAACCGGTAGTAAAAAAATTTGAAACCCACCACTGGTGGTGGCCCTTTGAGAGCTGTATGCAATGAAATTTCATTTTAATGTATGCCGATTAATGTACATTTCAAAGTGACAATGAAATTATTATTCTATTCTTCAATTCTGCTGAATTGTTGACACTCCAAGCCTAAAAGGAAAGAAAGACAAGTCCAGATGCCTTTTGGAAAGCACGTTTGGGCCAAGCCCAAAAGATTCATCCTCACTTAATCTCAAACCAGTTGTCAGCGTCTCACCGCTGGCCTAGAGAGGAGAGAGATAAACCCTGAACTTTTGCCTGCTAAATCCCTTTGAAGCCCGGTCGTCGTGGAAATGAGGAGGGGGGAGACATTCCTGTGAAATGACGAGACAAGAAGTCAATGGAGTGACTTGGAAGATAGCCAATGAGAAGCAGATAATTGGGGATCGGAAAGGGAGGGATTGGGGGGCAAAAGGTCAGTCTTGTCCGCATCGAGTCATGATCCGGTTGCTGTGCTCAATTAAAGAGAAGATTTCCTTAAAGATTAGCAGTTTGGAAATTCATTTATTATGAGATAGCATCGAAGTCTGACACCAGTGGTGGTATTCAGCCACTTCTATCCGGCTTGGGTAAACTGGTAGTGGCAGATGCAGGAGGCTCCGCCCACCCGCCCGGACCTTATCACGTCCTGTTTTTGACGATCTGCGCATGCACGGAAGTCCCTGCGCATGCGCGGGGGTGCTCATATTTGCGAACCGGTAGCGAAGGTAAATGAATAGCACCCCTGTCTCAAACCTAAAATGCAAAATGGCGGCATTTCCCCCCCTTTCAGCTTTATTAATTCACAGCATCCAAACCAGATATTCTTGCGAGTCTGAACTAAAAGGCTTTGCAGCCTTCTTGGAACTTAAAAAAAAAAAAAAAAAAGCACATTTCTGGGTACAAGCTGGAACTTTGCTCCACCATCGGCGTTAAGATTTTTACCACTTGTAGGCAAAGGGTTTTGTTTGTTATAAAAGTAGTAATATATGAGAATCGTGTTGTAAATCAATGGGAGGTAGGGCCCAATCCAGCAATGAGTGGGCCAAAGCCAAAAAGTCAGGGTAGACTTCCTTGCACCCTTTTTTCTAGCAACCATTTTTCTTTTTCTGTCCTCTTGACATAGCAAAAAGAAAAAGAGATTATTTTGGCCAGTGGTCAAAAGGTAGTCATTGACTTACAACAGTTCATTTAGTGACCATTCGAACTTCGAGCGGCACTGAAAAAAGTGACTTATGACCGTTTTTCACACTTATG